TCCGACCAGGGACGTCGTGCAAGAATTCGAGTAAAGGGGAGGGCCTAAGTGCATAACCACTGACTCATATGAATAGTGCCGTTGAGGACCTATTTGCAGTAAATTTGCTGAATCTTTAGAAATTCATAGTAATTCATAGGAAATCCGTAAAATAGCAAATGAGGACTTTTTGGAATCCTTGTGAAATTCTCTATGCATTAGATCTATAATATGGCATGTTTTAGTTTAAATATTTTGCGGTAAAAATAGATTTGTGCAGTAAGGTTGTAATGCTAGTTGAATTTGTTATTTTCCATAACTGCAGATCTAGGGCTCCAAATGAAGTGAAATTTTTGTGGCATGCTACTCATGTGATGTTTGATGTGTGATTAAAATTTCATGGTCATTGGTTGCTGCATGTGTGAGTTATTGGTTTATCTTGCTCTCACATGATTTCTTGCTTTAGCAACTTGTCCTTTTCATAGAGGTTGCTATACATATTCAAATGGAGTAAAATTTGTACATTAGACTATTGAGAGTATATACCAGCTACGGTAATTTTTGTAGAAGTTATTGTGCACTTTTGGTATATGTTCATTAAGTCACCTTGTTATCTAAAATAAATTAAGAAATGCATTAAAAGAATTTATTTGGTCATGTACACTAGGTTTTCTGGTGTTCTTTAGTCATGTGTGACATTTTGGTAAAGTTGGTTTTGCCCAATTATGTGTTTGCAACATAAGTTAATATTTATTTTCTTGCAAATGTGCTTTATGGACAGATTTAGGAACTTAGCAAAGTTATTCGTGATAATGTGCTTTGTTGTGAAACTTATTTATACAAAAGTTGTAGATAATTCATGTATCTATCTTCTGTTAAAATTTGGTGGTATTTGGCCTTGTGGTTTGTGAGTTATGCCTGTTTAAAGTTGGGTTTCAGAAATGACTGCTTCTGTCAATTGTGCACCAGTTTCTGTAAATGGGTATATTTGACTTAGTTAACTTGAGAATCATGCTAAAATGATTAAATATGAATTGTAGAAAATTTCATAAGCTTTCCATAATGTCTTCTTGCAAGTCATTTGGATTTGTGTAACTCCAGTTATAGCTAAATCTTGTAGCTGCTGTTTGCATGTCCAGAAATTGACAGATTCCAATTATAGTGTTTGCTTGTATATTGTTAAGTGTGACGTATGCTTTGAATGATGACTGAGTTAGAGCACCTGAGATCTTGGGAAATTTGTGTCATGCTTGGTGTTGTCGTCTCCTTTGCCATCTTAGCATGATAGATTGTGTGATGTTTAAGTTAAGCATCGTGAAGTACTTAAGTGTGTTAGTGTAAACTATGCTTGTCTTGCTTGCTATTTTGTGATGCGTCTCATGGTACTATTCTTCATATTTATGCACTTGCATATTGTATCTCATCTAGGTACGCTAGATGCACCACGTGAAGGATGAGATGTTGGAGCTAAACTCGAAGACGGTGTTTGATGGATCTATCCTGAAGATGGAAGGACTAAGCGAGTGCTAGGATCTGAGATGTCACCATGACAGTGCAAGCTAACGGAACTGACTTATGTCGGATCCCAGGCAAGCCCCGAAGCATTCTAAGTCTCCTACTTTATAAAAGCAATTCTTTCTATATATGAGTTATATGTTGTTGCATTAAGTTGTAGGAGTTGATTGAAATCGTTGATGCATTTATTACTATCCTTGCCTACCTTATTACCTTATTTCCCTGTTAGGTCGGAATCGAATAACTGCTTAGCCTTGCTTAGACCGGTAGCGATCGGTGATATCCGGTCACCTACATTATAGGTGGTTACTGGAAGAATTTAGCTATGGAAAGAATGATATCCTAGAAGTAACCATGTGTGATGGATAATTGGAGACCGGACGGAAAAGTTGGAGGCAACCAGACAGGGTTCTGGGGTGCTGTTAGTTTCCGTCTGTGTCGATTAAGGACCGACCGTTGTTGGGCCTCGAGTCATGTTGAACGCATGCCTTACATTTAGCTGGCCGAATAAAGCACCTTTCGACCGCGAAGCTGGGAGATTATTCGGGCCGAGTAGATTGCCCGCAGGTGTGGTAGGACACGGGTGCGTGATGATAAGACCAAAGAGCAGTCGGTCGGGGCCCGGGTACATGTGGTTCTTGGCAAACTCGAGATTCCTGGATAGTTGACTCGGTGACCGATACCTCACTTTAGCGGGTGAGTGAGGTTTGTGTAAGGAATAAATCACCAGCTGGTTAGGAATCGATTCGAATCGCCATCGCTCCTAGATAGTGAGCACTTGACTCGAGTTACGGCATCGTAGTAATTATTATGGAACAATGATGGTTATCTGGATGATATGGGATATGCTAAATCTAAGTTGGTAACTGGATGTTATTGGTTAATCAAGTGATTGCTATAGTACAGGTGCTTACCTAGATGGATAGGTCATAATAAAGATGATGCAAAGTACTTAAAATGGTTTCTTCATGATAGCTTATGCTTTTTGCAAACGAGTCAGCTAGCCCACTAAAGAAAGCCTTGCATAATCCTTGGTGTCGCTTTATTTTGGTTTAAGACGGGTAAGTCTGGCTGAGTACATTCGAGTACTCAGGGTTTATCCCACCTTGTTGTAGGTGATGTTCTCGACCTGTTGATGATGGTGGCTAACCGCCGGTGGGCTCGGTGATTCTATACTTACTTCTCATCTATATGCTTTTGTCTGAGGATGTCACTTATGCTAGCAATGTATTTAGAACTTATATTAATGTAATCATTTGAAAGCTATGTTGTTTTCTCTAATCGGTTTTAAAACCCAAACTTGTACTATTATTTGTGAACCCAATTATAATATTATTTCCGCTGCAACTCTACGTATGTGATGTGTATTTGCTTAATCACGCGATCTTGGTTGTGATGTTGATTTACCAAGGTCTTTCGGGACACTCGGCGGACTGCCGGGTTTATATAAGTGAATTTAGGTGCGTGTCAACGTGTTAGCGGGGACAGCCATACTTGATCTTGTATAAATTGGGCGGTTCTATCACAAATGCCTGACCCATCTTCTCTCACTCTTCGGATGTCCTGTTCTCATCATGTGCCATTCATAGCAAATTGGCCATGGGATCTAAGGTTCAAATGAAAATGACACAGACCTTTTGGTATTTGCAATTGTTAGTTCTGCCTGCCAACCTATCATAGTTTGCTATTCTCTACAATAATGTAATTACACACTATTATGATTCATGCACTTATTTGTTGATGTAATCATTACTAATCAACATGTTCAATGCTTTTTAGAGGGAGGGGAAGAGGAGGGCGAACAGGAGGAAGGCTAGCTAGTTTGTTAAGTCTCTAGGTGGTCCTTGAATGAGATGGATGTAGCTTTTGTGCACATGTTTACATGGTGTAGACTTGTTTCTTTTGTGGATATGTTGACATGGTGCAGTTGCTTTTGTGGACATGTGACATGGTGTAGACCTATAGCTTTTGTGAACATGTTTTTTTTCACAACTTTTGTGGACATGTTGACATGTTGTATGGTAGACTTTGAAATGCTATGGTTCTCCATGATTTTTCTTATGTGTTTTATATGTGCTTCATATTGTTGTCATGATGCTAACAAAATATAGCAAATGTGCTGCCAAAATTTTGAATATTTATCAATATTAAATCTGAGTTCAAATAATTGCAATTAGGCATACAATAAAAAAGTCTAATTCCAAATCATGGTAAAATCACAATTAGGCATAACAAACAGGGGCAAAATTGCATGGGCATTCATGTCCTTTTGTACAAAGTTTAACACCGTTAGGGTGGATGACGGAGCAGAGGTAAACTGGTGCTTCGTTTTAAAATTATAGGGGTAAATTCATAAAGTCAAAAAAACATGGATAAAATCACAATTTCGATAGAAAATAAGGGTAAAAACGCAAGAGCCCCTATTTTGAATGACTGCACCTCAAAAATGATGAAGGAAGACAATACCCATTATACATCCCTGAACAATCCTCCAAGTTCAGTTTTTCTCCCTGAACTTCAAAGCCAGATAAACCACCTCCTAAACTTTTAAAACCGTTCATTTTACCTCCCTGACCTAGGTGGTTTTCAAAGGCGGTTTTGTATTTTTCTTTTTTATTTATTTTGGCTGATTTTTGAAAAATCATAGTAAATCACAAAAAAATCATAAAATGAAAAATCTAATTTTCTTGGACTCTGCATGAGTATATCTACACAGTGAATATATATTATGGTATGCTTTAATAAAAAGTTTTTGCTGTAGCTTTAGATCTATGCTTTTCTGTAACTAATTCAAAGCTGTAGTTTTTATGGTCTAATTGTGGTGAAATTTTTATGGTGGTCTAGTTATTATATTATTTAACTGTAGTAAAAAAATCATGCTCATTGGATGATGTATATCTGAGTTATAAATTTATTTAGTTTTATGCTTCTTAAATAGTTTTAAAATAGTTAAAAGTGTGTAAAAATATAAACTAGTATGAAATTTTTACTACAGTTAAAGCGTACAATAATTAGACTACCAAAATTTTTTACCACAATTGAACCATAGAACTTGCAGCTATGAATTAATTACATAAAAGCATAGATCTAAAGTTACAACAAATATTTGTACTAAAGCATATCATAATATATATTCACTGTGTGGATCTACTCATGTGGAATCCAAGAAAATTGATTTTTTCATTTTATGATTTTTTTTGTGATTTACTTTGATTTTTCAAAAAATCAACCAAAATAAATAAAAAAGAAAAAGACAAAACTGTCTTTGAAAACCACCTATAATCGGGTCATGGGGGTGAAATGAACGGTTTTAAAAGTTGAGAGAGATGGTTTTCCGAGTTTTGAAGTTTATGGAGGAAAATTGGACTTCGAGGATAGTTAATGGACTCTTCCAATAGTAAAATACTGTGGGCCTTCCAATCGGTTGCTGAACACGCAGTCCGACCGAGCCAGGCCTGCTTCGGTAATAATCAGTGATCGCGCCTGTTGCTCAAAAAAAAATTCAGTGATCGCGCCTGGACCATTGGACGGCTGAGGCTGCTGCTCGGTGTGACGGTGTCGGTGTTCTTGCTCCTGCGCTTCCGTTCACCTCCACAAACAGCAGCTCGCCGGCTTCTCGGTACGAGCAAGTATAAGGCGCCGTAGGTGGGCTGTATGTTGAGGTGAAAGAGAGAAGGAAGGAGAGAGAAGATAAGCAGGTTATAAGCTTAGAACCACTTTATGCATAAGAATCAAGGAATATTGTGAGACAGATAAATGTGCTATAAATCGACTAACTATTATACGAGTGGTCTGTTAGATTGATTATAAGTTTTCGTACAACAGATAATCGGTTGTATTATTAGTCTTGCTCTACCGAGAGGGATCAGGCGAGGACAGAGCTCTTCCTTCTCGATTCGGTCAACTCTTGGCTGCCTGCAGCAGGATCAAGGCCAATTGGACCGTGGGCCTCTGTCCTGCTCGTAGTATTATATATAGTAGAAGTAGATATACACAGTAAACCGTAGAAGTCTTCGATCGATTACACATGAGTCTTGTGAAAACATACTAATGCTAGAGCACCATGTGCACTGTACGAATGCAACACCTAGCATCATCTCCTAAGCTTGCTCTAAAAAACGTACATCATCTCCTAGGCTAAATAAAATAACTGTCCGTCAACGATCTCCTAAGGGTAAAAACTAGCAAAACGGAGCAGAAAATAATAGCGACATCACGTCTCTGCTGTTTATCACATACACACGTCGGTCAGTTCATCAGTTCGTCGGAAATACAGTGCAACTGTGCAAGCAGTCCACAGGCCGTCCACTCGTGTGTGCCTCTGAATGGACTTATTAGCCTTCGTCTTCCTCACCACCGACTAATCACTCTGTGTCTCTGTCCATTGCGCCACACTCCCAGCATGCAACCGACCGTAGCCAACTCGATGATGCAACAGGTGAGGCATATTCGATCTTTTTCAATCTTATATTGCCCCAACCTTTTCTTCCTTCTCGAAAATGGTTATACCATTCATACGTCAATTCAATTCAATTTACTTCATTCATCTGCAGCACAAACTGGTTGTTTTCTTCTTCCCCAGGATTCTAATTATACATATGCCCTTTGTTTAATTTTCCTAGCCGGCCCAATCTGCACGGAAAGCCGGCGGCAATGCTCGGTCGCGCCGGGCTGTCCAATCGAAGGGGCCGTGCCCGTGTTCGCTGCGGAACCTCGCTATCCTCGCCGTGGTAGCATGGACCTTCTTCCTCTACCTAGATTTCTCGGTGATCAGCGGCACGGCGGAGGTGAGCAACGGCGGTGACCCGTGCCGGGGACGGTACATCTACGTCTACGACCTGCCGCCGCGCTTCAACACCGACATCATCCGAGACTGCAGCAAGGCCGGGGGCCGCTGGGGCGACATGTGCGCGTTCCTGAGCAACGCCGGCCTTGGCCGCCCCCTCACCGACGACGGCACGGACGGCGGCGGAGCTGGGTGGTACGACACGCACGAGCTCGCGCTGGACGCCATCTTCCACAACCGTATGAAGCAGTACGCGTGCCTGACCAACCGCTCCGCTGCGGCCGCCGCCGTGTTCGTCCCGTTCTACGCCGGCTTAGACTTTCTCCGCTACCGCTGGGGCTACGACAAGGCCACCAGGGACGCCGCGTCGGCGGACCTGTCGTTTTGGCTCACGGTACAGCCCCAGTGGCGGCGCATGGCTGGGCGCGACCACTTCCTCGTCGCCGGGCGAACAGGGTGGGATTTCCGGAGGAGCGGCGGCGACGACGTGAACGCGGACAGGGGCAACGGCCTCCTCGTCACGCCAGCCGGCCGGAACATGTCCCTGCTCGTGCTGGAGTCCACGCTGAAACACGGCAGCGACTTCTCCGTGCCGTACCCGACCTACTTCCACCCCAGGTCCGACGCCGACGTGCTCCGGTGGCAGGACAGGGTGCGCGGCCAGCACCGGACGTGGCTCATGGCGTTCGTGGGCGCGCCGCGCCCGGACGTTCCGCCGAGGACGATCCAGGTCCGGGAACGCGTGATCGCGCAGTGCAAGGCGTCCAGCGCCTGTGCCATGCCGGGGTGCGCGCGCAGCTCCGGCAGTGCCCAGTGCCACAGCCCCGCCGACATTATGCGGCTATTCCAGAAGGCCACCTTCTGCCTGCAACCACCTGGCGACGACGACGACGGCTACTCCCGCACGCGACGGTCGGTGTTCGACTCGATGGTGGCCGGCTGCATCCCGGTGTTCTTCCACGCGGCGTCGGCGTACAGGCAGTACCCGTGGCACCTCCCCAAGGACGACCACCTCGAGTACTCGGTGTTCATCCCGGACGCCGACGTGAGGCAGCGCAACGTGAGCGTCGAGGCCGTGCTTCGGGCGATCCCTCCGGGCACGGTGGAGCGGATGCGCGAGGAGGTGATCAGGCTCATCCCGACTTTGTTGTACGCCGACCCCAGGTCCAAGCTCGAGACGCTCAAGGACGCGGTCGACGTCGCCATTGACGGGATCCTAGACACGGTGGCGCGAATCAAGAACGGTGAGCAAGTCAATTGTGGCGGGCCGGTGGACAAGGATCCACCGAACCTCTTCGCCGCAACAGCATCAAGGATCCCGCCGAATGGATCTGTGCGAGCAGTTGACCAGCATCGGTAATTTTGAACCAGCGAAGGGATCTGTGTTTTACAGTAGTATATCTTCGTATGGTATACTTTGGCACAGCTTTAGTTGTTTCATCTAGAAAAACAGGTGCAGCCCTAGGATAGCCGGAGCAGCTCCATGAATTTTCTAAATCCTTCAGAGGGATAATACAATGATATCATTTCTACAAGTTGAACATTGCAAGAATTTGTAAAGAACACAGCTATCTCATATTGATATCATCAGAGTATGCCGACAAGATAGATTTCCAATATTTTGGCCTCGTTCGTTGGAGCTTATCAGTCATGGTATAATATTTTTCTCTTACAACAAATCAACGAATAGTACTTTTCAGCCTTGCTTTTCTTCAAAGGGAACAGGGGTATATGAGAGGTGAAAATTTTAACTTAGTAAGCAACACGTCAATTACTTGAACTTTCTGTCTAATTTAACATTTAAACTACTTCCAAGAAAGAAGAGAATTGCTGACTATGAAAACGTAAAATATATAGGGCCTGTTTGGTTTATAGCCGCCCACGCAAAAGGCCAGTCAGGCATGGATCCTGTCCCCGGACGTTCAACATCGGACTCTTGGGGTTGACGCGTGCGCTAGGCAAGTCTACCCAGTCTGCAAGCAAACACGCCCATAGTTACTTAATTGGGTTGTCGATGCTCTTGCTGGGCTATTGCACAGAACGCACTAAAATGATTGATGGACCAAGCTATTAGTTTTTGGTTATAGACAAATGGCGGAGCCTAGCCAAGGAGCCTAGTCTAGGCACTGCAGGCCTGCTTCCAGGTAGCCAACAGGCCTTTGTTTGGTTTCGTGGGCACGCACAGCTGAAGCCTATGGGTTAAGCGGTCCGTCCTGAGACTCTTGCGATGGTACATGGTTCTGCGAGGGTCTCGAGACGAACCGCGACGCCCACGTCCTCGGCTGTCGGCGACTCCCGTGGTCAATCCCTCCAACGGGCGAAGGACGATGCGAGAGAGCAGGGGTGGAGCCCAGTGGAGGCGAAACTAGGCTCCCACCCCCCTTGGCCCAATAGAAATTTGCAAGGCCTATGTTGCCAAGGTCTAGAATTCTCGAAACAAGGCCAAGAAGAAGCCTGACCAGTGCTTCTGCAGCCAAGCCAGTAGGCTCATAGGCCCACATTCATCGCTAGTTGAGCTCCTCGCCTCCATCCCTTGCTACAGGTTTGTTTTTTATATATAAAATAAAAAAATTGCCCCCCCTATAATTTCTTTCACCCTCCGCCACTGTGAGAGAGCAAGAGCAGTGCGCAGCGGAGAATGGTGAATGGAACGATAACCCTAGTGGGCAACAGTGGGGAGCCGAGTTTTGTTGCTTGCACGGGCGATGGCACCCTAGCCCACCTCATCCCCCGCACCGCGACGCGCAGCTGAAGCCTGGCTTAGCGGAAACGGCCACCCTGCGCATTCCGCCAGGCCTAGATAAAGAGTCATCGGTGGCTAGTGGGAGACCGACTTGAGGACGACTTAGGGTAATCAAACAGACGGGAGTTGCATTAGTGAAGCCAAGCCAAGGAGATGGGCAGAAAACCAAACAAACGTAAAGTCCACCACTTATCATGCACGCACGCCGCAATATTATAAAGGAGTTGCTTGCTCCATTTTCCTAGCCCAGCCTGTTAAGACTACCCATAACGTGCATCAAGGAGCATAGAAGCTTGAAACGTCAAATTAAACCAGCAGCGGTTCCTGGTTTCTGGGAAATCTATAGTGTATAAACATCGTCTTCCTCATCTTTGTGGGTTCCACTAAATATTAAAAGCATTCATTCCCTCTGCTGCCTCTTCTTGCCTATTCTCGTAAATATTTAACTCGCCAAGCATTTGCTAGAAAAGTAGAATCCTCCATGCCTGAATTTTTTGAAATGTTACTATGATAAACCTCGAGCCTTGGGAAGAAACATGATACGAATATTCTTTCTTTTAAAAAAGTTGGATATTATTTGAGGCATCGGTCGTAAAAATTAACATTGTGGGTAGTCTAAAGACGTGTTGATGTACAAGCTAAAGTGATGTGCAGTGAATCCAGTGCTGGAATGGGAGATAGCCAGATAGGTGATGATAGCACACTTGCCTCTCCCATCCCCTTATATTAGAAGCGACTGACCGCAACTCTATGTGCGGGATGGATTGACGAGTAATGCATGGCCACTATCTCAATGAATATATTTCATGATTTATGTAGTGACGCTAATTTGGTGTCACAAATATCAATTTAGGAAAACTCTAGAAGTTGATTTGGCCTAAAACAGTTATAAATCTAGCATGTAGACCCCGCATGATGGGTCTACATCAACATACGGTTGGCATGCCACGTTAAAGCAGTGAGCGGGTTATATGACTGCAGCCAAGTCTAGGACCTAATACTTTTAAAGTTGATGACCTAAATGATACTTGGACTTAGAGCCTCTTTGGCAGGCCTCCTACAGAGGCTTCAGCTTCGGCTCTTGTAGGAGATGTGCCAAATGCCTGTTTTGGAAAGAGCTCCGCATGTGGAGCCGGTCAAGAGCCGGAGCCATTTTTTGCCTACGCAGGAGAAGCCTAAAAAACGAGCTTCGCGCGGCTTCTTGCTGTGGGTTCACGTCGTCTAGTGCGAAGGATCCGTTTTGTAAAACGTTTTCCAGAACGGCTTCAGCTCCTCCAGAGGAGCCAGAGCCAGAGCCCTGCCAAGCAGGCCCTTAGGTGGTGTTTGGTTGCCCCTTCTAAATTTTAGTCGTTGTCCCATCGAATGTTTGGACATATGCATGAAGTATTAAATATAGACTAATTACGAAACTAATTGCATAGTTTGCGACTAATTTGCGAGATGAATCTTTTAAGCCTAATTAGTCCATGATTTGACAATGTGCTACTAAGTAAACATACGCTGAAGACGGATTAATTAGGCTTAAAAAAATCGTCTCGTGGAGTACTGATGGATTATGTAATTTATTTTTTTATTAGTATCCGAACATCCCATGCAACATTCTCCCAATACACCTCCTAAATTTTAGTCACCGAATCCAAACATCACCTTAAATTTAGGAATCCTACAAAATAATAATTTCTAAGAATGACACTCTTTACCAAGTTCAATGACCGCTCACTTATTTCACTCTTCTTAAATTTGTGGATAAGGCGCCCATATATGGGTCCTGTTTGGATACGTTTAAAATCTGATTATAGCTGGCTCTTCGCGACAATCCCGCCAAAAGGTTCGCGGCGCGTACGATTTTTTTTCACCGCCGCTTCGATACGGAGGGGGAGTTAGGACTAAAAATTGGCGGTCTCGCATCGCAAAGAAATCGGCGATTCCTAGCAGTCACCAAACCCGTATCCAAACAGGGACATGATCAGCTTACTCAGCTGCGTGACTGCCAGAATGAAACAGAGCTAGCGAGCTGCTTGCCATATCCCTCCGGAAAGAACCTTGATGCCGTCGAGGCGAAAAGGTTCGGCGGATCCTTGTCCACTGGCCCGCCACAGTTGACATCCTCGCCGTTCTTGATCCGCGCCACCGTGTCGAGGATCCCATCGACGGCGACGTCCACCGCATCCTTGAGAGTCTCCAGCTTCGACCTGGGGTCGGCGTACAACAAACTCGGGATGAGCCTGATCACCTCCTCCCGCATCCGCACCACAGTAGCCGGAGGGATCGCCCGGAGCACAGCCTCGATACTCACGTTGCGCTGCCTCACGTCCACGGTCGGGATGTACACGGAGTACTTGAGGTGGTCGTCCTTGGGGAGATGCCACGGGTACTGCTTGTACGCCGACCCCGTGTGGAAGAACACCGGGATGCAGCCGGCCACCATCGAGTCAAACACCGACCGCCGCGTGGGGGAGTCGCCCGGCGGCTGCAGGCAGAAGGTGGCCTTCTGGAACAGCCGCATGATGTTAGCGGGGGTGTGGCACTGCGTGCTGCTGGGTGTGCGCACGCAGCTCAGCATGGCGCAGGCGCCGGACGCCTTGCACTGCGTGATGACGTGATCCCGGACCCGGATGCTCATCTGAACGTCCGGCCGTGGCGCGCCCACGAACGCCATGAGCCACGTCCGGCGCTGGCCGCGCACCCGGTCTTGCCACCGGAGCACGTCGGCGTCCGACCTGGGGTGGAAGTAGGTCGGGTACGGCACGGAGAAGTCGGTGCCTCGTTTCAGCGTGGACTCCAGCACGAGCACGGACATGTTCCGGGCTCCCGGAATGACGAGGAGGTCGTTGCCCCAGTCCGCGCCGAGGTTGCTGACCCTCCGGAAGTCCCACCCCGTTCGCCCGGCGACGAGGAAGTGGTCGCGCCCACCCATGCGCTGCCACTGAGGCCGTGCCATGAGCCACCTTGTCAGGTCCACCGACGCGGCGTCTCTGGTGGCGTTGTCGAAGCCCCAGTGGTAGCGGGCGAAGTCGAAGCCGGCGTAGAACGGGACGAACACGGCGGAGGCCACGGCGGAGTGGTTGGTCAGGCACTCGTATTGCCTCATCCGGTTGTGGAAGATGGCGTCCAGCACGAACTGGTGCGTGCCGTACCACCCGGCTCCGCCCGTGATGACACCGTCGTCCGTGCCGTCGCCGGCGAGCGGACGGCCGAGGCCGCCGTTGCTCAGGGAGGCGCAGATGTCGCCCCAGTGGCCCTCAGTGTTGCGACAGTCGTTGTGGATGATGTCGGCGTTGAAACGCGGCGGCAGGTCGTGCATGTAGATGTACCGTCCCCGGCACGGGTCGGCGAGGCCTTCCCCGTTGCTCACCTCCACCGTGCCGGTGATCACGGAGAAATGCACGTAGAGGAAGAAGGTCCATGCTGCCAGGGCGAGGGCGGCGATGATTGTCGGCGGCGGCAATACTTTCGCCGCCGCCTTGATCTCGATCCCCTTCACTTCGACGGCACGGCGCGATCGAGCACTGCCGCCGGATTTCCGTCCAGATTTGACCAACTAGGGAAACAAAGAGCATGAAACAGCATCGGATCAAAGGTCTACGTATAATTAGAATCCTAGGGAAAGAAGGAAAGAAACAGTTTTTGCCACAGATGGCATATATATCATCATTTCGAGAAGGAAGAACGAAGGTTGCGGCAAGACCGGACTGGGCGATATATATAGAAAATCAAAAGGATATGCCTAGCTCACCAGATGTACGATCGAGTTGGCTACGCTCAGTTGCATGGCTGAGTATGTGTAGCAATGTACAAAGTGATTAATTGGAGAGGAGGAGAAGACGACGAAGGTGGGAGGTCAAGTCTATCCAGAGGCAGACGAGCGATGAACTACAATGCACTGTCTTTCCGACGAAACGATCGTCCACACTACTGTGCTCTGAAGTTTGGCACTGGACGGGAATACCTACACTGGTCCATCACTCGATCTTCTAGTGCAGAGCCCCTCGCTTTGGGACAGCGTACGTTGACAATGGGCACTGGAGCGTGCAGGATAGCACTCTGCACCTACATGGTCGGCATCAATTACTTGCATTATTTAATCAGTTGTTTATGTTAGTAATACCCCTTTCATATCTAATTATAGCTTCCTTTGCTTTATCCTAAGTTAGATTTCTTTAACTCTGATCTAGTATATAGAGAAATGCGTTAATCGCCATGTTCTTCAGCAGTACTTTTCAGCGAAGTAACCGTGTTTTCTCTCACAAGAAATCAGGATCAGCATCAGCAACAGCCAAATTTCAGCGAAACGAACAAGCCATGTGCATCGTTCCTTTTCAAAAAAAATCTAGAATACCAAATTGTTTTTAGTGTTGCCTTAGAAGTTGTGTCAAGTCTTAGTAGTCAGTCTTTATGTTTGAGTTGTTGGTCTCCGTATTCTTTAGTCCCATGGTTTTTGGGCTCAATTTCCGCACACAGTTGGTTGATTCAAAAACTACACAGCCGAAGGAGTTGAACATGTGGTAAACTAATTGCAAATGTGCCAATAATATACTGGTAATTCGCAGCAGTTAAACCGAGAGTGTGTGCATACACTTGCATAGCTACGGCCTCCTCTCCACATGTTAACGTGGTTTTCTGACACTGGGTCACGTAAACAAGCGCCTAGTGGATCGTTGCATATTCTGCTACGTCGGGCGCCTCAGCTTATTTCGTCCAAAGAGGCAATGGTCCAGAGTGATGCTGCTGATACCGAAGCCCAGTATGTGCTTCGAATCTTCTATCGAGAAACCGAAAGCTGGCCGGACGGACTGCGCAGCACTAGATTCGAAGGCACGTTAAGATCTAGTAGCTGATTGGTAGGACTCTGCAAACCCAAATGTTAATTGAATTGATACGGCTGTGATCTGAATAAAGGCATATTTGATACAAGAGCTAATCACTAGCCAGCTAAAGAATATCTCAAATTAGATGAAAGCATCTAGGTCCCTAAGTGGATTTTGGTGATTAATGTCAATACAAGATTACTATGACTAACGTGTGTTTTACAGAGGCAATTAAGTTAGGTCATGGTAATGGAGATCGATTGGGCAATTGAGGTTGTCATGCCCCCACGATGGAAATCGTTTCGGTTTTCAAAGGATGGACGACAAGATTAAGGATAACTAGTTCTAAGTGTCAATTGAAGTTAGAGAGACACTTAGAGTAGTTTAGAACTTTGTTTTTCCTTTGGCCGTACTATGAAAGGGGGTATGAACGGGTAGCTTGACCTAGTTGAGTCTAGTGAGTTAGGTGTGGTGCACACTTGTTAAAACTAGCTCTAGGTAGCTCCTATGAATGCCTAAGATCCTTTGGAGCGACTTCATTCTCATATGATCGAGAGTTGGAAGTGAATAGAGGGTCAAATACTAACCGGACGCTGGCTCCGGTGCGACCGGACGCTGGCCGCAGGGTCCGGTCAGTTCATTTGACTGAGGAGAACATGTCTGGAGTGACCGGACGGTGGAAGGTCGTGTGACCGGACGCTGGGGACCAGCGTCCGGTCGACTCCAGTAAGGGTCCAGACTTGAGAAAGTGTGACCGGACGCGTCCGGTCAGTGGTGACCGGACCCTGAGTATCCAGCGTCCGGTCGATTACACTAAGCATCCAAGAGCGACCGGACGCGTCCGGTCAGTGCTGACCGGACCCTGTCAGCGTCCGGTCATCACTTGGAAACTGTTGCGCGGGTTGAACTGACCGGAGCGTTCGGTCAATATGATCGGAGCGTCCGGTCATCCCGCAGAAGCTCATAACGGTTCGTTTTTCAGGCTGCCTTATAAATAGAAGCTCCAATCGAGTGTGGAGTGACTTTTGCTCATTCCAACAGCTGAGAAATACGTTTGTGAGTGCCAAGAAGAGCAAGGTCCTAGTGAGGTGTTTGTGATTTGAGAATCCAAGAGTGAAACCTCATTAGTGAATCAAGAGTAGACAAGTGTGCATCCATCTTCTCATTAGGCTTCGTGTGGTCAAGTGAGATTTCGTGCTTGTTACTCTTGGTGATCACCATCACCTAGACGGCTTGGTGGTGGTTGGGAGCTTGGTGATCACCCGGCGGAGCTTGTGGGTGACCCAACTCAAGTTGTGAGCGGTTTTGGGTGATTCGCCGCGACGGAGTGTCGAAGAATCAACCCGTAGAGAGCACTTGATCCTTGCGCGGATCAAGGGGGAGCTACACCCTTGCGCGGGTGCTCCAACGAGGACTAGTGGAGAGTGGCGACTCTCCGATACCTCGGTAAAACATCGCCGCGTTCCTCTCTCCATTTACTTTGAGCATTTACTTTAAGTATTTACTTTGAGCAATTCAATACTCGTCTTTACATTCATAGAATTGCTATGCTAGAGTAAGTTTGGAACATAGGTTGCAAGTCTTTTGTGCGTTGATTTGATAGAAACACTTTGTCTAGGCCAAAGGGGTTAATTGGGCTATCCGTAGGATTTGATTATTGCAAGAAAATTTAGAATTAGCCCAATTCACCCCCCTTCTTGGGCATCTTGATCCTTTCAATTGGTATCAGAGCCTCGTGCTCACGTTTTTAAGCCTAACCGCTTAGAGCAAGATGTCTCACGGGGATGGTCCTCCTCCTATCTTCGAGGGGGATGATTTTCCATATTGGAAAATTCGCATGGAGGCTTACCTAGAAGCTCTAGATATTGGAATTCTTAGAGCCGCCTCTCAAGGGTTCCCAACACCTAAGAATGCCGCACAACTCCAAGGTGATGAAGAAAGTCTTGCTCTTATGGTGAAGAAGACCGCCAAGATGCTAAAGAAGCTAAACAAGGGTGGCATCAAGTTTGACGGCAAGAAGAAGAAGTTCTTCACTAGCTCAAGAAGAAAGCCAATCTCCGAGATGGATTGCTACAATTGTGGCGAACTTGGCCACCTAGCTCATCAATGCACAAAGCCCAAGAAAGACAAGTTCAAGAACAAGGGCAAGAAAGATGATTCAAGTGATGAAGATGAAAAGAAAAAGAACAAGCCATACAAGAAGAGAGATGGCAAAAAGAGAGACTTCTACAAGAAGAAGAAGAGTGGCAAGGCCTATATTGTCGGTGATTGGCTCACGGACATTGATTCATCAAGTGGATCATCCGATGATGAGAGTGACAATGAGAAGGTGGCCGCCATTGCTATTGATCTTGCATCCTCACCGCCACCATCGCTATCATCCTCTACACACATATGCCTTATGGCCAAGGGTGAACGCAAGGTAACTAAAAGTGATGATAGTAGTGATGATGAGCAAGCTAGTGATGATGATAGCGATAGCGATGATGATTCACCCACATATGATGATCTTGTCAAAATATTAAGAAAATACACTAAGATCATTAGAAAGAGTAGAGCTACAAATGAAAAACTTGATGATAAGAATGATTCACTCTTAGCTAAGTGTGATACATTAGAAAAGACTAATGATGAGCTCAAAGAAACAAATGATTCTATATCATCCAAACTCAATGAGCTCAAATCTTCTAAGAAAGAGCTTAAAGATAAACATGATAAACTTGAGTGGGTGCACAATGAGCTTATCACTAGTCACAACAAGCTAAAAGATGAATATACAACTCTAAAGATCAATTATGATACCCTTGTTATTGCACAAGAATTCTTACCAAATGAGCCACATGTTGCTACTAACCATGTTGTTAAGATTGATATAGCTACCTCATGTGATGATTTAATTGATGAGAGCATTGAGCATGGATCTAGTAGCAAAGGCAAGCAAGTGGTTGAGTGCAGTGACTATGATGAGTATGTCAAGCTCAAGAGTGACAATGAGAAGCTCATGAAAGATCTTGAAGAGATGAAAAGTCACAACACCATTGTGATAGAAACTCTTGATCATGACAAAGATTTGATCCTTGAGAATGAGAAGCTAAAAAGAGAAAACAAGAAACTCAAGGAAGAGAAGAACAATGATATTCTCAAGGAAGAGAACAAGAAGCTCAAGATGGAGAAAGAGCATCTCAAGGTGGGATTGAGCAAGTTTGCTAGAGGCAAGCATCTTCAAAGTGAGCTACTCATGAATACCATCATGAAGATGGATATAAGTGGCATTGGATATATGGCAAGTATAGAGAAGAAGAAGGCTCAAGCTCAACACCAACAATCAAAGCCAAAGCTAAAGCCAAAGAGATGTTTTGAGTGTGGACAAGAAGGCCACTTTGCTCATGAGTGTCAAACTCCACCACCATAACCCTTGCCCAAGCATGCTAGACCCTTTGCTTTCAATGCTCACTACATGCTTAGAAAAGATTCTAGTGGAAAGATGAAAGTTATGTTCTTAGGACCTCCCAACAAGAGTAGGCCTAAGAAGATTTGGGTGTCTAAGTCACTTGTTGAGAAGGTGAAGGGCCCTCAACAAGTTTGGATCCCTAAAGCTTAAATCTCTTGTGTGTAGGTGAACTACAAGACCGGTGGAAGTCATTGGGTTATTGATAGTGGTTGTACTCAACATATGACCGGTGATCCTCGTATGTTCGCCTCACTAGATGAAGAGGTAGATGGACAAGAGAAAATAACATTTGGAGATAATTCAAAGGGCAAGGTTAAAGGATTGGGCAAAGTGGCAATATCAAATGATCATTCCATCTCTAATGTGCTCTATGTTGCCTCATTGAGTTTCAACTTGCTATCCGTCGGGCAATTGTGTGATCTTGGTTTCCAATGCTTATTCACCGAGAAGGAGGTTGTTGTATCCAAAGTAGATGACAAGCAAGTGATATTCAATGGATTTAGATACAACAAC